TTCCTTTTTTTTTAAGTCGTTTAAATGGTTAACTAAGGGTTAAACGTGGGTTAAGGGGAAATATGACGTCATTAATGGTCTAAAGGGGAGACTGGTAGTAAATTAGAATTTTTAAATTTTTTACGATAGTAATTAACAAGATTTTTAATTTGCGGTAGTAATTTTCTAAATGGCATTAATATGCGGTAGTAATTGGCAAATTTTACTACATATATGTGTACTATATAGTTACACTTTATTTTTTAAAAAAATTACTTTATTTCAAGTTTAGGAGATGAAAAGACTATTATTTTATTTTATTATGGTGGAAATAGAACACTTCATTTTCTTACTTAAATTTGCAAGTTAAGAAATGCATAAAGACTTAAACATTAAATTTTTTGTTTTAAAAAAATTATATTAAAAGTGAAAAAAAAAAAAAATATTAAAGGAGGTGACATGTGGCATATAAGTAATTTGTGGTGACATATGGCATGTGAGTGATTGTGATTTGTGTTTTTAAATACTAAGTATAGATATAGATAGATTGTTCAAAAATATCATCAAAATTCAACTCTTGTTTTAGAATTGTGAGATTTCTAAAACCCTGACTAAACAATGTGTTAGGGTCCACATCAAAAACGATACAAAGTACTCTGTATTTATTCAAATTTGGTCAAATAACCATCTTTTTTTGAGAGAAAAATGGGAACTTCTATTCAACAGCTTGGCAAAATTACATAAGATCAATTTCCGCAAGGTTGGGGAAATGAGTTCAGAAAAACTTGCTCAACCCCATCACAAGGATCAAATCTAGCTAACAGGTGAGCTAAAACATTCCCATTCCTCTTTACATAACAGCAAGAAAACGAAGTAAAACTCTCTCTTAAAAAACTGATGTCTTCCACAATTAAATCATAGGCGAGTTCTGCCAGCCTTCCTTGAGCAAATAGCCTTCACAAGCTCCAGCGCGTCACACTCAAGTTCAATATGCATATACCCAGATTGTTGAGCAAACATAACCCCAAGCCTCGCTGCAAGAGCCTTGTACTATTTACCTTGTTCAAAATGGAATTTTCCGACCATTTCTTCCAAGCTCCATCTTCAATTATAAATATATCTTATGGGCATTCAAGACAAAAATACACACAAGAGGCCATACCATACACTAGCCTTCCTACATACTACACCTCCTTGTACTATTTACCTTGTTTACGAATCCACTATTCTTGCTTTTGTAATACTCCTTTCTGAGTTTCTATAGTGAGAGTTCTCTTGTAATACTCAAGTTCTTATACTCTCATATTTTCATATAGTGGATTATTTTGGTGCTCGTCGTCCATAGGTTTTTTGATAATTTTTCCCACGTTAAATATTGTGTGTCCATTTCTTTACTACTTATCTTGCTTTCAACTTTTTCCAAATTAGTTTATCAATCTCTACATTTTTAATTTTCTTTCGCTGTGCACTTACCAACCCTAACACTTTTGCATGTTAATTAAAACAAATTAGTTTTTGCCTCAAGTAGGAGACGTTAACAATGTCAGATTAATATTATGGACAATAAGTTAGTAGTATTAAGATCGAAAATGTCATATGCACAATAAGTTAGTTGTACATTAAGAAATGAATAGAGTATTTCAATTAGTTGAACATAATGACGAGAAACAACCTACTACATCTAAAGTCAAAAATCTAATGAAGATGCTTTTTTGAGGAAAAATCTAATGAAGATGCTAATTGCATTTGAATAATTAATTAGGAGATTACTTGAGCATGTTAATGATTGGTTGGTGGTCGGGCAAAATCGCTAATTAGTGGATGAAATGACAAGTCCACCTTTGAGTCATTACTTTTGTGATATAATTAATCATAACCAGTTAAATTAATCTTCATCATTATTATTAGCATTAGATTACAACAACCATGTTTAAGAACAGTGACTAATGAGACTTAATTTCTTAAGTATACGTATGAAATAATTCTAACATTAATAATAAGATTTTTGTTTGAAGGAAAACAAATGATATATAACATCCGTTTCATATTTTTTGCAATTTTAGGTATTATTTGTGAGATATAAAATATTTCAAAGTTGCAAAAAACATGAAACGGGGGTTGTAAATTGAGTTAAGATGGTAAATAAAATGTAATAATTGGTTTGTGAAGGATATAGCTACGTTTATGTTGCACTTTTTACTTAATTTATAATAGAATACTTGTGACTAAATTTGCAATGAAAATACTCTTTGAAACTTATTCTTCTTCAAAAAAGAAAATAATCTTTGAAACCAAATAAGAGAAGCTCCGTAACAGTAATTACCGTATATTTCCTCCATTCCATTAGCTAGATTGTAGCATTATATACTCCTATATAGTCATCTCAATAATTTTTTTTATTTTTTTTTTGAAGGAATTAATTAGGAATTAGTCATCTCATTAATTTTGACTCGTAGTATATAGTCATCTCATTAATTTTGTCTCGTAATATTTTTGAAGGAGAGAGCTAAACGTAAAATCTCGATGGAGATTAAACAAAAGTTCACATTCATATGGCGCAATGAATATGGTAGAATGAATTCTGGACAAGTCCAAGAATACGATGAGAAAAATGTCGGCTATTACAAGATTATTTACACTTCACAATTAAGTTCTATCCATTATACAAGTAACAAATTATAGATCTTGCACAAAATTCAACAATTGCAAAATGGCACATGTATAAATTCGTTTATAAATGGCCACATAGTCCAAGAACATTATTTCGTATAATTTTAATTTTAAAATTAAAAAAAAATAAAAACATAATTTGTCCTATCATAATTGGCTGAATTTGTTTAATAGTGTGAATTTGTGAGGAAATTAGAGTAGTAATTAAAGATCAAAAATTGCGCAAATTTGGCTTGACGACCAAATCGTTGAAATTTGTCTGATTTTAAACCACTCTTATTCCGACAAGTGGACATTAAAACTGTATAAAACAGAGTTAACAGTGAATCACGCTAACACCACAAATCCCCAACGCTTATCATATGGTGTACTGTTTTTCTGTATCATTACTACCTGCAATTTGCCAGCACTTAATAATGTAGAAAGGTGGAATTTTTTTTTTGTTTACCAAATTAATGTACAAGATGTTGGTCATGTTAGAAAAAGAAATGGTTCTTATTCTTTTGGAGTTTTGCGACTTTAAGACTAATGTAGCCAATATATGGGGTGTTTAAGTAAGTAAGATCAATCTTATTTGATATAATTCTTACCTTAACTAAAATTCTAGAGACTTGTGATATGAAATATTTGAAAGTAGGGATCCTCTTATCAGAATTGAATAACCTCTTTTCCTATTATTTTTAATGTTCGAACAATAAATTTTGAACTAGAAACACCTACGTTAAAGATAAAGTAAGAGTCATGCACATGCATAACATTTTTCGATTTATAGTTGTCAATTTTTCATTTATAACAATTTTTTTTTTTTCAATCGTTACAAGTAAATTGGATGGGTGGTCCTATCTTAGGGTTTCGATCCTTATTGGTTCTTACCACAATGCTTTCCCTATGATTGATACATGGTCTCCCCCTAGATAAAGTGGGAAGCGATGTCATTTGACCACAATTCAGGGCTTTAGAAAAAGAAAATTTTTTTTTTGCTTATAATTATATCTAGTAACAAAAGCCAAATAGATGAATAGTAGATAGTGTAATACGGAGCATAAGTACAATAAATATTTTCCACGCTTAACATTTAAATCTCCTCAACAACCACATTAAAAGTCTCAGTTTTAGTTCAATTTCTAGCTTCCAATTAAAGATAACACAAATTTTGTATTTTTGTGGCTCTAGTTTGCACTGCTAATGTTAATACATGAGAGATTAAGAGGGTAACTATGTAATCTGGATGAATATGTTTTATCTAAGTTATCTGGTTACTATATTAAAAGGGTAATGCTATAAGCATTTAATACACTTCGTAAAATAGTGTAAATTTAGGAATTCATGATAAAATATTGTGTAAAACAGTGTACTACTTCCATTAAGTATTAGTTACAACTTTGGAATATTTTATATCTCACAAATAATACCCCAAAGTTGCAAATAATACTTAACGGAGGTAGTAATTAATATTTATTTTGTTAAACTATTTACTCCCTCCGTCTCCGAAAGAATGACCCTTATGGCCTAAATCTAGTCCCAAAATGATTTTTTTTTTTTTTTTTGAAAGGCAAGTTAACATGATGTCAAGTACAAAGTAATATTCATAAATTGGCACTATGCCATGGCATGTTATTACCAAGGTAGAGTGTCCTCATAACAAAGTTTTGTAAAGGACAACACTTAATAAAAATACTTTGTAAAATTGGAATACATATCATTGATAAGTTTATTTTTGGGTTAGATGTATAGGCTTCTATGTATTGAGTAGTTCTATATGTATTCTAGCAAAACTTGTCGTATTTGATTATCTAATCCGAACCCCAAAGTTTACTTAGATACTTATTACGTCTTACATTAAAAAATTCCTTACAATAAGCTAATTGACAATAGACCTCATTTGGCACAAACCTAATCATTTAAATGACCTCTGGTACTGGTACAAAACTTAAAAAGAAGAATTAAAAAAAAAATTAAATTAAATTAAATTAAAAAATATATAAAATAAAAATGAGGGTGACATTTCTGGCTTTAAGGCTTAATTGCCAATCAGTCGATGTCATGTGAAAGTTGATTATTCAATTTTAAAATACATTAAGTGGATTATATTTACAACTAACCAATCAACTACAACTCTACAAGTTAAAAAAGAAATTATAACAAAGCGATAATTTATCAACAGCTACGAGCTACCCTTAATTTTAAAGTCTTCTCTAGTTAACCAATATTGTATATTATCCTATAAGAAAACTTGTTTTATCATTACAATATTTTTAGGATTTACAAGTCATTTTAGCAATACGTGTAATATATATATATATATATTTTTTTTTTTTTGGGTCTTGTTTAGTCACAATTTTTGCCAATTTCATTATATTTAATTACAGAGTAAATACCAATGCAATAATTAACGTACACGTACTCAATAGGTATATGTATATATTTTTCAAAGAAAGAACGTAAACATAAACATAAAGACTAGAGAGTAACTTTTGTGAAAGTGTGCTTTTGTATGTCTAGTCAACAGCTAGCAAATATAAAGAATTTACTTGGGTTGTGAAAGCACCATACATGGTCTATTTCCCCTGTTTTTAAAACAGAGGATCTCACTTTGTGTTTTTTTTCACTAAAGAAAGAATGGAGAGTTTCAGGATATTTGGGTGTTTTACCAGAAAGTTTGTGAAGGCGGAGTTACAGCCGCCTTCGGATATCAAGCAATTCTTTGACAAATACGCCGAATGTGGGCCCCAAATGACGGCGGAACACCTCCAGAAGTTGATGATCGAGGTGCAAGGTGAATCCAAGGCGACGACATTAGCCGACGCAGAGAAGATTATTGAAGAGATCAAGTCAAGAAGAAAGCACCCTCACATGCCTATTTTCAGTAACACTGCTAGAAAAACTCTAAGTCTTGATGAGTTTTTCTCTTATCTTTTCTCAACTGATCTTAATCCGCCTATTAACCCTCAGGTTAGTTCATACTAATCATTCATGTTGTCAATATAACAAGTTACTAACTAGTTTATATTTTATTAATGTGAAAGTTTATGTTTTTTTTGGAAATATGATAGGTTCATCAAGATATGAACGCTCCAATATCCCATTATTTCATATACACAGGCCATAATTCATACTTAACAGGCAATCAAATCAGTAGCGATTGCAGCGATGTTCCGATCATTCAAGCATTACAGAGAGGTGTAAGAGTTATTGAGCTTGATCTTTGGCCTACTCCTAACAAACAAGATGTTCATGTTTTGCATGGAAAGTATGTAATCATAATAATAACCTTCCTTTTTTTGTTCATTTCTTTTTTAAACTTTTTTGGTTTGATTAACTTTTTTTTTTTGTTATAGGACTCTTACAACTCCAGTGGATCTTCTCAAATGTCTGAAATCCATTAAAGAATATGCATTTTGTGCATCTCCTTATCCTGTGATTTTGACTCTCGAAGATCATCTCAATCCAACTCTACAAGCGAAAGTAGCAGAAGTATGTACATTTACATATATGTGCAGTTTTTATGGATTTAATAGATTAATTAAGTATTGATTATTCATGGTTCGAATTTGAAGATGATTATTCAAGTTTTCGAGGATATGTTGTTCTACCCCGAAACTGAGATTTTAAAGGATTTCCCTTCCCCTGAAGAATTGAAGTATAAGGTTCTCGTATCAACAAAACCTCCCAAGGAGTATCTTACTGCCGAAAATGCCAAAAATAGCAGTGGTAGCAAGGAGCCTTCTATTGAAGAACAAGAGTTTAAGGTTCTTTTTAAGTAAAGAATTCTAATTTTTATGTTTGTATGTTTCAATGATGGTTTTTTTTAATATTTTTTGTTTCTAACAGGCCAACAATGAGAAAAGTGGAAATGGAAATAGTGTTGAACGAGAAGTGTGTGACTACGACGACCCTTCGCTGCAAGAAAGACCGGCCGAGTATAAGAAAATGATAACGATTCCGGGTATAAAAAGGGGTGAATTGAAGGAGTCACTTAAGGTGGATCCTATTAAGGTCAGCCGTCTGAGTTGGAGTGAGCAACTTCTAGCAAAGGCAACCACTTCTCATGGAACTCGTATCATAAGGTAACTTACTATTTCTTCAAATGTGGCATAACTTTTTATTAATAAAATTATTTCAATAGATATAGCCTGTGTGAATTTATTTGAGTGGGCCTTAAGTGGGCCAGTTCATGTCTGGCCCAAATTGTATAGACTTTGCACATGCCTCAAGCAAGCCATGTGTTATGGTAGGCAATTAAAGGGTTGGGCTGAGGTCAAACTGAGCCATGTGATATTTGGCCTTATTATCATGGTTCATTGGTTTGTCTTACAACTGTAGCATTTTTTCTACTAGTATTGTCCTGTAAAACTTGTATCATTGTTTGAATGTCTAATGTTTTTCATCAATCTCCAGGTACACCCAGAAAAATATTCTGAGGATTTTCCCTAAGGTTACGCGGTTCAACTCTTCCAATTACGAGCCTATTCTTGGTTGGATGTATGGTGCTCAAATGGTTGCGTTTAACATGCAGGTTAACTGTCCTAAACAACATAACTCTTATGCTCTATAGACTATATGTCTATATAATGTTTTGGTATATTATATCAAAGCTAATGTTTATAATGCACTTAACAAGTTAATTAATCGCGTATGTTGACAGGGCCATGGAAAACAACTTTGGTTGATGCATGGGATGTTTAGAGCCAATGGAGGCTGTGGTTATGTAAAAAAGCCTGATTTTCTTTTGAATTCAGGTCCTGATGACCAAGTTTTTGATCCAAAAGCAGATTCATCAATCAAGACAACATTAAAGGTGACTTAATCTCTAAATAAACTCGATTTATTATCATTCATCTCTAAAATTTGTTTCATCTGAAAGAAATATGTGGATTGTTTAGGTGAAAGTATACATTGGAGATGGGTGGCGCGAAGATTTCAGACAAACTCATTTTGACACATTTTCACCACCAGATTTCTATGTTAAGGTAAACCAAACCATAATCTTAACCACTTTATATTATATATTGTACTGTATAACTTTAGCTAACTATGAAACTTTGAGTGATATATTACAGGTAGGCATAGCTGGAGCGCCAGCAGATAAACTGATGAAGAAAACAAAGGTGATAGAGGATCACTGGAGACCGGCTTGGAACGAAGAGTTCAGTTTTCCTTTAACAGTTCCTGAACTAGCTTTGCTGAGAATCGAAGTTCATGAATATGATACAACTGATAAGGATGATTTTGGTGGGCAGAGTTGCTTGCCTGTCCGAGAATTGAAACCAGGGATTCATGCAGTCCCCCTTTATAATTACAAAGGCGAGAAATATGCTTCTGTTAAGCTTTTGATGCAGTTTATATTCGCGTAAATATACCTATACATACTGTGAGTATTTTGTTCATGAGATGGTGTCCTTATGTATCATTTGTGAGCATGTACCTCTTTTGATCTCCTTGAAGTTTTGTAATATGTGTAAAATTTTGGCTTCATTCCGGGGTTTACGATGAGATGATTAAACTATAGTACAGAACAAATGAGCAATAAATAAAGGCTTTGTTTTGTCAATCAAGATTTAATTGTTGGCTGGTTCACTTGACTTGTTTGATCGACCAATATAGTTAGTTGTCTGGGTCAATTGTTTTTATTGATCGTTTCCAAAGATATTGTCGATGAACTTTTTTATGTGCAGAATCTCCGAACTCTTGGGCTAGAAAATCAAAAGCTACTGCAAAATAACCTTACATATTGTATTTCTTTCTTTGTCTATTTGACCACATTGAAAAGCCAAAGCTAAATCAATATAATAAAATGAATCAAATGAATCGCGAAACAAGGCCAAAGTGTACAGTACTTTTCCAACCATTCATCTGTTGCAGACCACAAATTCTAAGAAATATGCTTCATGTGTTGATGAAGTACATGTATACTTATGTTGTTAGTACTATGTTAGCCGAATAAAAGGATAAATTATATGAGGGGATGCCTTGAGTATATATTCTAACTTTGGCAAGAGGCAACTCCAAAGCACAATATTTTAATTAACCAACAAGTATTCTTTTCACTTCCTATTTATTACCTAAACACCTTATGTCAGATAGAAACACCAGATGACCAGACTGTTACAAAAATGAATAACATGAAAACACTGTTTACACCAACAGCTGACCAATTAAATAAACCTAAGCAGTCATACAGATTCTGTTTCTTCTTCCGGCGTATGTTCAAGCTGAGAATGGCAGAACCTCCACCAGACATCGTGAACTTGTTCAACGAGTACTCTGACAAAGGGGTGATGACAGTCGAAAAACTGCACCAGTTTTTGAATGATTATCAAGGAGAACATCACACTATTGAAAGTGCTCAAGACATATTCAATAGTATCAAGCATCATCATGTCTTCCTGAGAAGAAGTCTTAACCTTGACGCCTTCTTCCAATATCTTTCCGGGGACCAAAATCCTGCTCTTGCACACCCTAGGGTAATAATCTTTCAAATTTCTTACACTCTTTTCTATGATTACCTACATGATCTAGTCATACAGAAACTGTAATATCAGTAATGCAGTATATTTCTGTGTTACATTTTTTGGACAAAGCATAATCGCGCTTCCTTATAATTGGTTACTACAGGTTGTGCATCAGAACATGAATGAACCTCTGGCTCATTACTTCCTATACACAGGCCATAATTCCTACTTGACAGGAAATCAACTCAGCAGCAAGAGCAGCATTAAGCCGATCATCAAGGCCTTATTAAGCGGTGTCAGGGTCATCGAGCTAGATTTATGGCCAAGCAAGAATAACAAAAATGATATCCAAGTTTTTCATGGAGGGTATGCTTCTAAGATTCACACCTTAACAAAGGGTTACATAGTTTGCTTAATTTGAAATTTTCATACTTGCAGGACAATGACCTCTCCAGTGAAACTCAACAAATGTTTGGAAGCAATCAGGGATAATGCTTTCGTTGCCTCGAAATACCCTGTCATCATTACTTTTGAAGATCACTTGACTTCTGATCTTCAAGCTAATGTGGCCAAGGAGAGTTGCTAAAACATAATATATATATACCTATGTTTTTAATCTGTTGGAATTATGCTATCATATCTGATATTAACTCTTCTATATAGTTCCTTGAATTCAGATGGTCAGTGATATTTTTGGAGCAATGCTGTATCCTGGATTGGAATCTGGAGTGGAATTTGTTGCATTCCCTTCACCTGAACAGTTGAAGGGAAAGATACTGATATCAACCAAGCCGCCAAAAAACTCACTTGATAGCATCATCCAACAAGAACATAATGACATCAACCAACAAGAACATAATGATGAACTTGAAGATATAGCAATTAAGGTTTATCTTGATAGCATTAAAACTATGAATTCCCTCATATTGAGCTTTACTTTTTGCTTCCCTAAACAACCTTGATATCTGCAATACAACAGGACAATGAAGAAGAATGTGAAGAGGAGGCCGCTGCTCCTGAGTATTTGCATTTGATTGCTATTCATGCTATCAAGCTGAAACATGGAGATGATGATGGACTAAAAAAGCTTTTGAATGAACATACTCAGAGAGTTGCTCGGTTGAGTATGAGCGAGGAGAAGCTGAAAAATGCTGTGAAAACTCATGCAAGTGACATTGTCAAGTAAGTGATAAAACAGATTAAATTTGTTTGTCATTGTTGCTAAATTTGAGGTTCTTAGAAAACTGAAACAAGTTTTTGGAAACCAGAAAAGACAGGTTCCTGTATTTTTGTTGTCAGTTTTCAAAATTATCATGATTGATATAAGTATGGTTATGAGTCTTATGACATAAAGCAAAAAGCCATGTAAGACTATACTAGTTAGTCCTTTGGATAATAGATACATGTTTTGGTGTTTCCTCACCAAAGCCAACCCCCCTCAGGTTTACTCAGAGGAACCTACTCAGGGTATATCCAAAGGGAACACGCGTTTTTTCTTCAAATTATGATCCTCTAATTGGATGGACACACGGAGCTCAAATGGTAGCATTCAACATGCAGGTAACTTGGAAATCTGTAGTTTTTGCCAGTAGAAGAATTAATGATTCAGCCTGATGCAGGTTAATTACTTTCCTCTGGTCTCGACAGGGTTATGGAAAATACCTTTGGATCATGCAAGGGATGTTTAGAGCTAATGGCGGCTGTGGTTACGTGAGAAAGCCAGATTTCTTGTTATTAAGTGATGAGCCCTTTGATCCCAGCAGTATTGGAAGACCACTCAAGATAATTTTAAAGGTCTTTCAGCTAGCATTCTCTAGTAGAACTAGGATTACATACAAAACTTTGATTTTGTTTATTTCATCTTACAAAAATAAGCTCATGAAGCACAAATAAAATTTATTCCATTGAAGTTCAGATTGAGGAAAACAGTTCAAACAAGGAATAACAAGTTCCTTTCTGAGTGAAGCCTAATAATCTTCATTGTACAGATAAAACTATATATGGGGTATGGGTGGCATTTGCAATTTCGCCGAACAAGTTTTGATCCATTTTCTCCACCAGATTTCTTTACTAAGGTCAGATAATAACCAAATGTTTTCTCCTGGTCACTGATCATACATACATATATACATACATACATTGTCATTTGCACTGACAGTTTTGTGCTCATTTCTGTGTAGGTTGCAATTTGTGGAGTCCCAGCAGACATAAAGAAGTGTAAAACAAGGCCTATCGAGGATCAGTGGGTGCCAATGTGGAACCAGGAATTTGAGTTCCCCTTGACAGCACCTGAACTTGCCCTCCTAAGAATTGAAGTTCGTGAACACGACTTAGACGGAAGGCATGCCTTTGGAGGCCAGACTTGCTTGCCAGTCTTGGAGTTACAGAGTGGCATCCGAGCTGTTCCGTTGTATGGGAAAAAAGGAGAGAAATATGATCACATTAAACTTCTCATGCGATTTCAATTGTTACCAATATAGCTAACTGACTGTAATTAATCTTTTCATAATTACTATAGCTTCCTGCTATGTATGTTCTCTGAACCACATTCACTTTATTTGAATTAGTAATATGCCAATAATTCAGTATATAGATGAACATTTTTCCCTTATATTCCTACTTATAACACATACTAATTAACTTGTAGTTAACTTTAAAGCATCAGCATGCAGTTTATACAACGGCGAAAATATACAAAGTTCATATAAAATCGAATATACTTGGCTTGATTGTTTTGGCTATATTAAGGAGGGATTGATAAAAAAATACCAATAGGGAGAAACAGGCATAAATTAACATTTTTGTTACTGATAACTGAAACTTTCCTTTGTGTATTTATTGTACTTTATTTTAAAGGAAAACGTGAAGACTGACAATAATATACAATAGCAAAAGAAGTGGAAACAACAAGAGAATTTATTCCCACTTTGGCAAAAGGAAATTCCATAAGAAAAAATTATTGTAGAAGTACTGTTACTAGAGTTTTAAGATTCTTGCAGAATATCAGGAAAAAATCTCTATCTTCATTTTTCTAATGGAAAGTAGCTAATGTCTATCGCTCCTTTAATACATGAAAGGCAACTTCTTAGAACAAAGGATCAAGAACTAACAAGATTTCTCTCGCGAAACAAAATCTATCAGACAAAAATGTCTAAACAGGCATATGAGTTCTGTTTCTGTTACCGGCGCATGTTCAAGCTGAGAATGGCAGAGCCTCCAGAGGATGTTGTGAACTTGTTCAATGAGTACTCTGACAACGGAGTGATGACTGTCGAAAGCCTGCATAAATTTTTGGTAGATTTTCAAGGGGAAGAGAAGGCTACACTTGAACATGCTCAAGCTATTTTCAACAGTCTGAAACATCACCACGTCTTCCACAGGCTAGGCCTTAACCTTGATGCCTTCTTTAGATATCTTTTTGGGGATCTAAATCCTCCTCTTGCACCTCTTGGGGTAAGTAGCACCTTTAGCTCAACCAGTTTTTGCAAATACAAGAAATTACAAGATTTACCCTTTAATTGATGGATTCAATGAAATTTACTTTGTGATAAAATTTACTTTCTGTAATAATTTAGTTACCAAAAGTTTTGTTAAAATACTTTTCATCTTCTGTTCAAAAATTCTCTGACATTTGTTCAAAAATATCTCTGACATAGTACTGTGGCTTGTTCTGAGTTTCTGAACATCCTGTAAAATTTTGGCTACTCTCAGGTGCACCATGACATGAATGCTCCTTTGGCTCACTATTTCCTCTACACAGGCCACAATTCTTACTTGACAGGGAATCAGCTCAGCAGCGCAAGCAGCATTGAGCCGATCATTAAAGCCTTAAGAAGCGGTGTCAGGGTCATTGAGCTGGATTTGTGGCCCAACTCGAAAAGGAACGATGTGGAAGTTTACCATGGAGGGTATGTACACTTGACAGAAAAGTCTATCCAATTTGATTTATATACCTAAGACTGAGTAGTTCAGATTTTCTCAGTTTTTAGCATAAGACAGGATATGCTTTCTCAAATTCTCAATACTCAACACAAGTCCCTCCACAAACACCAAATTATTAATATTAGGCACCCTTGTATTACCATGCACCCGTTGTCACATTCTTTGATTAAAAAGACTACTTGATATAATCTGAGGGTCAAATAAAAACTTGGATTCGTGTATATATAAGTTTCTGCTACTTCCTGGTAAACTTAAACTTTGTTGAAACCAACAGGACAATGACTTCTCCTGTGGAACTTATCAAGTGTTTGGAGGCAATCAAGGAAAATGCCTTCTATGCTTCAGATTACCCTGTCATTATTACATTTGAAGACCACTTAGACTCTTTTCTTCAGGCCAAAGTTGCTCAGGAAAGTTTATTCACATAGGCTAAATGTTACTCTATTTATATTGTAGCGTAATATCAGTTGCATTGATCATAATAGGACCTCTTTTTCTTAATTCAGATGGTGAATAAAACATTTGGAAACATACTCTTCCCTGGCATGGATTTTTCAGAATTCCCGTCACCTGAATCTTTGAAGAGAAAGATTCTGATATCGACCAAACCACCAAAAGAATCCGGTGACAATCTCAAGGAAGAAGAACCTAATGAGCATAAGATTAAGGATTTTAATGACATTTCAATACTTACATTAGGAGATACAGGTGAATCCAGACATAGGATCAAAGAAGATGCACAGATTCAGGTTAACATTGTAACTAGAATTCAGAGGTTCTTTATAATTCTGAAACATTTTTATCTTAATGTTTAAGTAACCTCTATGGCAGCAATATAAGATGGAAGAAGAGGAGGACGAGGAGGAGGATGCAGTCATTCCTGAATATAAGAGGTTGATTTCCATTCATGCTGTAAAGCGGAAAGGTGGCCAGGAAAACTTACTTAAAGGTGATTCTAAGAGAGTTGCCCGTTTGAGTCTGAAAGAGCAGAAGCTGGAATATGCTGTAAGGACTCGTGCAACTGATATCATCCGGTTAGTTATAATAGACTTGATACATTTTCTTATACTGTACTCGTCTTTTGTGTTATAACTATACAAGGTAAAAAAGATATAATGATGCTTTAAGAGAGATCTTTTCTCTTATGAAGAAATTCTTAGTCTCTAAACATAGAAAGTGTGGCTGCAATAATGATCACAGACCAAACTGAAGCATTTTGAATATACTTGGTCTTTGCTCTATTTTTTGAAGTGTTGGTTATGTACATATCAGAATGATCCTAAACAGTTTACGCTAATTCTTCAGAATTCTATAGCTCCTGTCAGAGTATGTAACTATTTCTATCCTTTGTCCAGATTTACTCAGAAGAACTTGTTAAGAGTATACCCAAAGGGTACTCGAATTCTATCTTCAAATTACGATCCTTTCATTGGCTGGGCACATGGAGCTCAAATGGTTGCATTCAATATGCAGGTTTACATCTCTAAATTTATTCACCTTCACTTTCTGCTTATTCAAACGGTTGCATTCAGTACAGAAGAATAAAAGGACTGATTAATATTGCCTTACATTCATTTCTACTTATGTACTTGAAAGGGATATGGAAAGTACCTATGGATGATGCAAGGAATGTTTAGAGCAAATGGTGGTTGTGGCTATGTCAAAAAACCAGACTTCCTTTTGAGCTGTGGTCCAAATAACGAGGTTTTCGATCCCAGCATAAGAAGGAAAGTCAAGAAAACTTTAAAGGTTTGTGGTTTCATCAAGCAGTCATTCAAATATTAATAGGATAAACAGAAACACCGCGCCCTCTCTGTTTACAGAAGTATATATGATCTAGTATCTTAATCTATATAGACTCTAATGAACAGGTAAAGTTATACATGGGGGATGGATGGCATTTGGATTTCCATCACAAACATTTTAACCAATATTCGCCGCCAGATTTCTTTACTAAGGTCAGCTAATACAAAATCTTCATTCAAAATCATTAGCAGTCAAGAAGCAATGCATTGCCTAGTATTTTGCCAAAATTTAACTGTTTTGAGAGAATTGTGTTTCATTTGTGGTTGTAGCTTCACATGTTAGGAGTTCCAGGTGATAAGAAGAAGGTGAAGACAGTGCCTATAGTAGATCAGTGGGTCCCTCTATGGAATGAGGAGTTTGAATTTCCATTAACAGTTCCTGAACTAGCCCTCTTGAGAATTGAAGTTCGCGACTATAACATGAGTCGAAGGCATGACTTTGGAGGCCAAACTTGTTTGCCTGTCTCAGAGCTTCAGACTGGCATCCGAGCAATACCGTTGTATAACAAGAAGGGGGAGAAATACAAGTATGTCAAACTTCTTATGAGTTTTCAGTTACTAGGAAGCTAACTTACTATAACTTGTACCTTTTCTGTAGTTAAGATAGTAATCAGAGTATGTGTTAAGTATTTTACCTGAGATGTAACATAATTTATATGCATTCAGAAATCTGTATGACTGCTGCAATCTTATTCAGCAACAATGATTTCATTGCTGAGAACTTTCTCTTATCTCATATTGACATAACATTGCTAAGAAAACGATTAAAAGTGTCAGTTACAAGCAAACAATAGACCTTTTAAAACCAGTTTGAAGGTAAAACAGGCTCTGAAATTAGGAAGAAAAAACACAGTAGTCAGTTACCAAAACTGAGCTGGATTTTAGAGTGATTTTACTCAGAAAGCTGAAAAAGTAGTGACTATGCTTCATTCTATTGCTTATATCATACACTATGAAGAAAAGGCAAGCTAATCAAGCATGGACCGGCCTGATTCGAGCAAACTTTGGGCTGCCGTTCAGGCCATATTTTCGGGTGTCCAGGCACGATTAGCATTTTCTTATCATGTTGATCTTAGACCAACTCGACCCAAATTCCCCAGTTTTAGCAAATTTTTTGGGCTGCATATTTTTGGCTCTACAGGAAAACAAAATAAAGGAATGAAAATTTATTGCATAAAGTTGAAAATCAACATGAAAAATATGCTAATTCTTTAATTCATACCCACTTCTTCTGTGGGATAACTTAATAAGAAGAAAACACTTATACCCTCTCAAAACTGTCAACTTTTGTTCACTTTCCTTCACCCTCTACTCACGTCTAATAAATTCTGGCTGAATGTTCTGTTATTTCGAGAAACTCCGCTAAGCGGGTTCTCAAATCTAACAAATACATAACAAGTTCAAGAGAAGTAACCAAAACTTATTGATCACTTTGACAAAAGTTTTAAGACAAGAACCGGTATATATTCTTACTTTAACTAGCTAAGGAGAAATTCTAAACAGCATGCATGAAACACATTTACATACACCCTCTCTTCAACCTTATTAAAAAAATGTTCTTCGGTTATCTTATTCTGCAAACAATAAAGTTTCCTAAGCCGTAATATAATTAATCCTCTTCCTATCCGTTCTCCATTGTCTTCTTTAAAATAAGACATCATGTCGGAGATATATGGAAACTTGAATTATTGCTACAGACGTTGGTTTAAGAGTCATTGGCCCTCATCACCTCCAGATGATGTGACGAATTTGTTCAACGAATACAAAGAACATGATAGGGATAGAATACGAACACCTAACCTGGCTGAATATCTCAAGAAACATCAAGATGTGGCGGAGAAGCATGCTGTAAAGCTTGCACCAAAAATCATAGCTTCAAGAAAACTGAAGGGATTCGCCAACTTTCGTAGAACCAGTCTCAGTAAGAATGGCTTCTTTGCGTATCTTCTCAGCAGCGAAAATCATCCCTTAGATAAAAAGGTATAGTTACTTACTGTATGTATCTAGTTAGCATGTTAGTTCATTTATTTACTTAGAAAGCCTGCTAATTTCTGGGACAGAAAATGCCGGAGTTTGATGGGAACGCTAAGTTAGCGCACTATTTTGTATACACAAGCAATTGTTCCTACTTGGAACGGAACAAAAGCCAAAATCCTATCAAATCTGCAGCAGCAAAGACGATCACTATGCCTTCTTGTCTCCGGAAAGGCCACAGGGGAGAGTCAGAGTCCAAGTCGGATGGTGATGGTGAGCCTAGTAACAATCAAGATAAAAAAGAGCAGGAGAAATTCCGTAACAGTATTACAGCAATCGAAAAGGCTTTGTTGATGGGTATCAGAGTTATTGAATTGGATGTGTGGCTGAACTCAGATAAGAAGGGCATTACTATTTCTCATCCGGGGTATATACCATGACTCGTATTATGTTAAGATTTAAACTTTCATTAGTTGGTCGTATTTGCAATCATAAATGACAAATGCAAAATGCAGAAATTAACCTTCTTGTTCTTTGTTTCTGCATCTTTATTTTGGCTATTAATTAGTTTACAGTTCTCTTGTATTCAACTGGAATTTTAAGCTCAAACAACATATGACAGGATACCGCGCCAATCACACTAAAAAAATGTTTGAAGACTATCGGTGAAAATGCATTTGTCACTTCTGAATTCCCCCTCATAATAATTCTAGTGCAGCAATTTGAATCAGATCCATCAGATGATCTCCAGAAAGAGATAATTGAGGTGAGTTATCATGCCAGGAAAATTGAGAGTAGAATTTGCTCGGATCTTTTAAAACATTGAATCTTTTTTTTCTCATCAAATTACGATTTTCCATCCTAACTTCTTTTCTAAAATGAAATAATTACAAAGCCCCCTTATTCCTGCAGCGGATCAAAAAATTTGAGAATAAGAACAATCATAAATTGTGTCATCACAAAGGAGCTTTGGATGCATCTCTAGACTCTCTGAAAAAGAACTTTATAATTTTAACCAGAAAGAAGGTGAGACATGAACCGTCACCAACAAACACGAGCGTTAGTCTGGACTTATAACAGCATATATTTAAAAACTTTCCTCAAGCTCTTAAAAAGCGTAAAGCCTAATACAGTTGATTTTGCAGGACAAAAAAGACTTATTATATTTGTAATTACAATGAGAATCCAGAAAACAGTGGAATTTTGAGATTGACCGAAAACGAGATAGAATCTGCTAGAAGTACTGAGTATACCAGGTTAGCAAAATATACAACTGCTGATTTCTGGATTTTTTTTCTGTTGCTGCTGCTTTTTAATCTAAACAACTTGACAGTGTTTTTTTTTTTTTTTTTTAATTTTTTTACAATCAACAGAATTTACATTATACATTTTCTGAATCATATAAGTAGATGTGAAAACAGGTTATTTAAATGGGAATCTGTTTGTGTTCATTTGATTCAAATTATGGAGCGTTCAGTCTTTCGGATCTAATAAAAACTAGTTTAAATTCAATCTTTAATTCAATCTAACCATGTAATATAGCTTTTGTTTGTTAAGTTGGGTCACTTTCATTTCAAGTAGTGAACATGTCTGTATCAACTTCTGATAAAGAAATACTTTCCTTTAGTTTAACCCAGACGAAACTACTAGCAGTTTATCCCAACTCTGATGATCCAGCAGTTTTCACTAAAAATTTTGACCCTCTTATTGGCTGGACACGCAGGGCTCAGATGGTCGCAATCAATCCTCAGGTAAATTTATGTATAAACACTTACATTCATGGAAGACCCTTTGTGTGAAGTATTCAACTATCCCCAACCAGAACTTCATCTGTGCCTACTTGTCAATCTGATTCTTTTTTGACAATATATTTTGTAACAGAATTTTGACAAGCATCTATGGGTAATGCAAGGGTTGTTTAGGGCACAACTCAACCAAGACTGTAAAAGACCTACTGGTTATGTTAAAAAGCCAAATATCTTGCTGAATAATAAGATTTTCGATCGTACAGAATGGCGCCCTGTTAAAAAGATTTTAAAGGTGAGCTCATCTTCATTAAATAACCACAATTAAGAATATGCATGCTAACAAGATTTCTAACTATGTAGATTTCGATATTTTTTTTGCTTTCCTCGCTTGGTTAATGTACAGGTAAAGGTATATTTGGGTACTGGCTGGCATTTGGACTTCAACAGTGAAGAGGAAGAGTTTGAAAGTGATTACTCCCCACCAGATTTCTTCACAGCAGTTAGTCTAACTAAACGTTCTACGAGTATTTGCACTTTTTCATCCCATTACAGTTTACAAGCTTAGAATAATGACAGGACTGATTTTTGTAGTTCTCTAATCACTCTTTCTTTCCCAGGTTGAAATTGTGGGAGTCCCAGTAGACGAGGCAAGAGAAAAAACAGTACCAGTCATGGATCAGTGGGTTCCAGTATGGGATCAAGAGTTCAAGTTCCCCTTAACTGTTCCTGAATTAGCAATGCTGCTGATAGAGGTCAAAGAATTTGACACCGACAGGACTCATGACTTTGGAGGCCAAACTTGTTTGCCGGTCTGGCTACTCAGAAGTGGAATCAGGTCTGTTCCATTGTATGACAAGAAGGGGATTCTTATGCGCTTTGAGTTTAACTGACAGCACATATCAATACTGATGATCCGATCTAACAGCAGCATCTTCGATGAGTTTTCAGCAGAGAATAAGCACTAATTAGTTTAAGATTATTCTTCCACAAATAAAATTTTCTCAAGTCCGGCTAGTCCGCCCTTGAAAGTTGAACCCTCAGACTCAGTATCATCTAAATTATGTGTGCCCTATATTTTATAAATAAAAAATCTTTTTAAAAAAAAAAACAGAACAGCACATTGCTGCTCCACGTCTAAGTTTACAACTTCGCCTCAACAAAGATGTTTTCCAGTGTATAGACTATCAGCAGCTTGTCATTTTGAGCCTAAGCTCTATGATTGACTTCCCTATAACAAAGCAGTGCAGACATGCTTCCCTATAAGATTGACTATGTGGAAGGGTAAGAACGCGATCATTGCCATGAATGGCGGAAAATCCATCCACAAACAATATACCCACTGAGTCCGGAACTAATAGTCACATTATACGTATGCTATATTTAAGATATCTCAATGGAGCTATAGAAAGGATTTGCAACAGGCTTTGCTAGCATGCCCTTAGAAAGTAACACAGCCATAAAGATTATATTTTGTAAAATCATGTCAATATTTTGTAAAATCATGCATATCCTAAATTATAAGAGGTTAGGACAATAGGACAACTAATTTTAGAAGGAATACATATTGGGAAATCAATGAAGCTTTGATTCATAAAGTTCAAAAATACTGGAATCCAGTCTTAAATATGCATCAAGCTGATATACAATCACACTCCACTCAAGCAAGGTTCCCTTCAATAATTAAACTCCACTAAATTTCTTCATTTACACTAATTCAGTAGCTAAGAAGGGACAGCACTAAATCAAATAGCAAAAATAAGGAAACAAAATTAAGCAAAAAGTACTAGAAATTAGAAAGAAAAGAAAAATAAATGCAGGTAATATTTGCTGCTTAGGCTATTATTTCACTGAAAGAATAAAAGTTGGGAGAGAAGGTACCAGAGCTGCCTTTACAAAGTGTTAAGGCCCTCTCCAAGTTGGAAACTACATCAGACATTGTTGGCCTCTCTTTCCCCTCTAAGTTTACGCACATCATCGCAGTGTATGCCAGAAGCTCAACGGCCTCAGACTCGTTCATTACTGGCATTTCTACCCGTTTATCCAACACCTTCCAGACTTCCCCAGCCACAATGAAGGGACCTGCATACTCCACCACACCAGTGGGCCCACTTTTTTCACCCTCCTTGAATACGGCCTTCTTTCCCGTCAATAGTTCCAACAAAACCACCCCAAATCCATAAACATCACTCTTAGTTGTCAAAACCTTTAAAACATAGTACTCAGGATCGATATACCCAACAGTCCCAACTGGTTTAATCGACATACTCCCTTCCTCATTCTCAGGACCCTTCAATGACAAGCCAAAGTCGGATACTCTGCCAACCCAATTTGCATCAAGAAGGATGTTTGAACTCTTAATATCCCGATGAATAATGGGTGGGACTGCATAGTTGTGAAGGTACTCAATCCCTCTTGCAGCATCTAAAGCAATCTTGATTCTCATCCTCCAGGAATTCAAGGGGCTGCTACTTTTCTGAGTGTTGTAGCTATGCAAATGATCATGCAGAGCTCCATTACTCATATATTTATAAACCAGTAACCTCTCATTTTGCTCTTCACAAAACCCGACTAGACCCACCAAATGCTTGTGGTGAACCCGAGTTAAGAGCATCAGTTCTGATTCAAAAGCATATCCTCTCTTGCTTCTCGCACAGATTTCTTCCCTCTTAATGGCCACTTCACAACCAGCATTAGAGAGTATTCCTTTATACACAGTCCCAAAACTCCCTCTCCCAATCTTATTCTCCAAGGAGAAATTTTTTGTAGCAGCAGCAAGCTCACATAGGGTGAACACCTCTGCCTTCTCCACGTGCTTTGACGAACTATCCCAGCTCCTGGTACGTCCCAAGGCCATAGAACTGAGCTGTGTGATCGATGATGATCTTGACTGAGGTGCACTGGAAGCATTACTTGCTACAAAAGCTGATTCAGCAGCATTGCTACTCCCAATAGAATTAAGCTCTTTATCCTTCACAACATCCCGATCCTTCCTAACTTTTGAGCAACCTAATCTTTTAAGGTATATGAAGTAAGCAAAGGCAAATATTCCAGAAATGATACCAACAAACCCAAATATCTCGTATGCCCAGAGAGGCCGGTGCTTTTCCTTTTTCGATGGTAACGATGAAACTAAATATGATGGTGAAATTGCAACTGGTGATGGTAGTGGCTGAGAAACATTCTCTGCCTCTAGATTTATTCTGGAACTTAATGGAAGTGGAAGCTCAATTACACATGATCTGCAAATAACTGTATCACCACTACAGAGTGCCTCTGAACCCGGAAACACACCACAAAGTTGACAAGATTCTCTGACACATTTACCAGGAATCATACTTGGCAGGGGAAGCAAAGTATCAAGCTTACCAGACCAGCCAGGACCCCAGCAGTTCACAGTAAAATCATCGGATCTCAGACCACAGGTGTAATCTGCACCAGAAATGATTGACTCAAATGAGAGCTTCTGAATCTTCTGGTCGGTGATAACTGATGTATTTCCTCCATTGCCCCAGCAGATAACCGAGCCATTGTTCCTTTGCAAGGCACATGAGTAAGTCCCACTAAGAGCAAGCTCCGAAAAGTGGAAAGGTTTTTCTGAAGGGACATCAAGTTGGCCTGAATCATTAAGTCCTTTACAAATTAATAAACCAGAATAAGCAATTCCACAAACATGAGATTTCCCAGCAACTAAACTCAGCATTGACAGACTACCAAACTCTCTCTCAATAAAGTCCCCTATCCCATTTTCACCCCAACACAAGACATTCCTCTCATCCTTCACTATTCCACAGGAAAACCCATCACCTGACGTGATGGCAAGGAAACCAGTTTCTCCCACGGGGGGCAAAGCTGGGGAGAGGAGACGGAGTCTTCCTTCTCTTTCCCAACATTGGATGATGCCTGTTCTTGCCTGCACTGCACAAACTTGATCATCCCCAACTGCTAAATCAGTCAGCGGGGAAAGGGTATTATGGTAAACTATCTTGCCAATGATACTGGAATTGGAAAATCCCGTGTCCCAACAAAAGAGATCGGAACCACCAGAACTGAGGCCACAGAAGAAATCACGCCCACCAGATATGGCTTCGTAGGAGATGTTTGGCAGGGCAGAAAACATTCTACCCTGCTGAAAACATTGGATCCCCTGCGATTTCCCCACAAGTATGCCACAAACGGTGTTAAAACCATGGATGGCAGCAATGGTGGAGGAGGAGCCAAGGCCCCTAACTATGGTACAAGTACGAAGGAAAAAGAGACTTAAGAGAACAGGAAGCAATTGACATCTTCTGACAAGAGAAAAAAAGATGGTTTTCTTCTTCATGGAAAGAGTTTCAAGGAAAAATAGATTGTAGGCATGGAAGCAAGTAGAAGAAGAATGATTGGACGAGTAATACAGAAAACGAAAGGGATGAATGCAGGCCCATTTCAAAAATTAACAAGAAAGGTGAAGAATAAAATCTTAAATCTGACAGAAGAATACAAGACAGCTAAAGGTTAAATTTCATTTCATTTGATTTTATTTTTTTTCTTGTATCCTTACATTGATGGGAGTTTGCAGAATCAAGTTGGACTAAAGATGTAGATATAAATTTCGATTAAACAATAGAATTGACCAAAAATTAACAGGTAGCTGGACATAAGATGATAATTAACTGGATGTTTGAGGGAGGTAGAGTCTAAAATGGCCAGCACGAATTCTTTTAATATTGTTATCATCTTGAATTTTTTATACTGAAATAGTATCTTAATATAACTGCCATTGTTAGAATACCATGTCGTGAGCAGATCAGGGCTTAATTTAATAGTTATCCAATGTAAAGAAGAAACAAGCTAATTTGAAAACATCACATACTCACAGGCAGCTATTAAATTTTCCCTCTAACCAGGTCAAGGCAATAGAACCTGACTAGTAAACTCCGATGTTCGAAAGCAACAACCCACCCCCAGACACACTTGCCAAACCTCATCTATATACTCCCTCCGTCACAAATTAATTGCAACTAAATGCTTTTTCAATGCTTACTCAATTCCACCCACCCCTGCAATACAGGGGACAATTGTGAGGGAGAGCATGTATTCACTAAATATTAATAACGACCACATGGCAGAAATCAATTTGCCTAACAATAAGAAATTGTCTTCTTCATTATCTTTGCTCTTACAAAAAAGTACAAAACACTTAACTTCTTATTAATCTAGGAAACTAACAGCAATAGTTCAAGCCGAAGTACAAATGAGCGTGTAGATTAAATTTCATTAGATGACTGAAACATGAAAGCATTGGTCTATAGATATAAAGAATAACACCAAGAAAAGCAAAATAAAGATCGTGGAAAAGGAGGAAGAAGATAATAATGGTATATAGCTCATTGAATTTGTATAACAAGGGAATGTAATGACAGTTTTGCATTCATCTTCATTATCAAACAGGGAGAATAATATTCTACAAAAAGAGCTAGAAGAACAAGTAACCATCCACGGAATTCAAAATGGAGAAATTTAAGGAAAAATAAGTAATGATGCATCATTACGATCATATAATTTCACTAGCTTGCCTGAATGCACAAAATTACACGCCACTGCTGAACTGGGATCATGTGCTAACTTATACTCAGGATAAGATGAAATTTAAATGTGTCACTGGCGAGCATTATCATGCAGCAGTATCCTGAACGATATCTTCAGGTGGAATACTATACTCGTCCAACTGAAAATCTGCATCGAGATCCTCCATTGTTTTTCCAAATACATATTGTTTTGTCCCCATCGTTGTGAAAGGCAACAATCCAAAAGCTCGGGCTGTCTTGATCTCCCTTGCAACTTTCCTTTGGGCTTTAGCACTAATTCCAGTCTTCATGATAGATAAAGTACTAGAGTTCAGAATTCACATTCCAGAGAAAAAAAAACTTGTCAAAATTGAGATGAAACATTACCTTGCTCCTCTTGTTGAGTATTCCAGCTTCAGTCAAAAAGCTGGCAAGGAATCTTACATTCTGCACAATTTAATCACATATGTTGCTGAGACATGACATCTACCACCAGTCCAATTCAAGATTTAAAGAGAAAAGTTAAACCAGCAAAAAAAAAAACTGATTCCTTTAAATGAAACAAACTTAAGTGTACTGAAGGCCATCACATGCTTACCCGAAAATCTGCTTTCTTGAGAACCTCCTCCGTAGTTACTTGGAACTCAGCTCGTTTACTAGGCTTCCAAACTCCTGGTTTCCTAAGATCGAGGTCCTACGTTGAAGAATATAACAGATAAATATTCGAGGATTTGAATTCGGCATATGCAAATCAAATAGCACAAAATCAAAACTACATCGATCAGGCAGTAAAAGTCGAAAAATGGGGAGAATTTTGGGTATCAGTCAAGTGTCAAACCGTCCATTTCAGCAAAGTTTTATGCACTTGTATCCAAAATAGGTTCTAAGTTTCTAACAGTGTAATAAATGGTTAAGTAAAATAGGACCAAAACCAAATTAAGCTCCATGAAAGTACAGATTTCACAGCTAATTAACAGATGTTACAACACTGATGCAAGAACAAATCTAGGAAAGATATGAGCTAAGTTGCATGAAACTCTAATTGCAACAGAAACACCAATAATTGCAATATATATATGCATGTCAAACGTCTCATGTTTTCAGCTACATACCTCAGGGTTATATGTCATACCAGACTTGAAATTCATGTCTGTTCTAAATGTATAATCTTCTTGGCTAATCTCATCCGGATTGAATTCAAAATATTTAGCTGCCTCCTTCAGTCTCCCTTCCATCCCATCCATCAATGATGTGAAACTATCATCGGCTCCAAACTGGTCTTGTCCACCAAAACCAGAGTTCGTCCCCAGTCCAAACCGAGCCTTCTCAACTCTGTCAAGCTTCCGGAAGAAAGCATTGGAATTACCCTCAGAGATCCCACCAAATATGCGGCTCTCAAAGTCATCAGTGGACTCAGATGTATTGGCATCCTTGTTCTCACCATTGCCTTGACCTATCGAAAATCAGGACAATCCAAACACATTACACCATGGGATACAAGGAATCTCAAACATTAATTTGCAACTCACAACTTAATAGGAAAACAATATACTACTATGATTCTACAAACAAGCAAGGGTAATTATAATTCGCGTGATTTCAAGCTGCAACTTCCACATTCTACAAACTCACCAGAATGACCTTATAACTAAAATGTACTATCTACTATACTAATTATCCAGCATAAATCCAATGCCATGTCCTCAACGACATCGAATTCCAAAATTTACAGATCCTATCTCACTAATTAGCTGTTACTTCAATCCATGCCAAACTATTATGATTTAAAGTCATGAAAAACAATGATTTCATATCAATTCTCCACAATACCACCTAAATTCCAACTTTCCAACAACTAATTATAGGCTCACAGGTTACAGCAATAAATTTTTCAGCAAATAAGATTGGGAATTTAAGTATAAATGAAATACCCAAATAAATAAACAAGAAAATTTAATCTCATACATAAAAATTACCAGAATTAAAATCGGTGGAAAGGGTCCTGACAGTCATAGACCGCTTAAACTGATGATGATAGAATCCATCACTTACAGATCGCATTGCTACCCGAAAAGGCCTCATTTCTGGCTCCTGAAAATATTATTCAAACAAATATTAAATTAAAATGATAAATGAGCAAAACCCATAAATTCTAAAGCTATAATCTTTGCTTTTTAGGGTTTAATCAATCAAAATAACATTTCCCACATTTCCTCAAGAAACCCCCCAAAAAATTCAATTTGATAAAAATCAAATGTTAGAAATGCAAAGAAATGGAGATTTTGAAGTAACTTACCCAGTATTGAATTGTCTCCCCTCTTTTTTCTTTGATCTATGTGTAGGTGAGGAACACCATGTACAGAAATTGAAAGAAGTAAGTAAACGTCGACGTTTTGAATGAAGTATTGAGTTAATAAAAATGGCGGATAATGTAACGAAGGTTTTTTGTGTAGGGTTTAAGAGTGCAATTTTGCAAAATGGTCCACTCGTATTTTGGGTTTGTTGTAGACTAGCCCAATTGTGTTTTTTCAAGAGATAAGTTCAGCCCAAAACTTTTGTTTTTTCTATCTACAAAGTGCGGAAATTGTGTTTTTTCAAGAGATAAGTTCAGCCCAAAACTTTTGTTTTTTCTATCTACAAAGTGCGGAGTACTTCGTATACACTCAGGTGAAGTCAGCAGGTCAATATTTGAGACTTGAGAGTAGTGGGGTGAGGTAAGGAAATATCCCTACTCCCAAGCAAATAAGTTAGTTGGTGGGGCTCGAACACATAACCTCAAAATTACAAGGTGAGCTCTTTACCAACTCTATCAAGCTTGTTTGGTGTTTGATATATCTTATTGTCTTTGCTAATATATAAATTTATGAGAGAGTACAAGTACGACTGTATTGTGGATGTTAATTAGTTTAGTTAATTGGAGTTAAGGTGGTACACCGTATATACGAAGCAGGACATAAGATTGAATCTTGTATACATCATTTTATTCATTTAATTTTCAATTAAATATATAGCTTATAAGTTCCTAATTTCTCTACATTAAACGTGTTTGATATTATTTTAGTTATAAATGTTTGTACTGGACTTAGCTTAGCTTATAAACATATTCACAAATTAAAGTTGGGTAGCCATTATATTTGTTAAATCTAATATAATCTAAACTTACTTTTCTAGTGTGTATTTAATGCTTATATGTAGCCCTAAGGTTTATGTATAGCATTTTCCTTCTTAAAATAAACTTATCCTTTTCTTGAACTTTGTTTTTTAATTAAATAAAATAAGTGAAATAAGATGAAATTAGCATATCTTCTCAATTTCATACTTTCCTTGACAGCTAGAAAGGAAGCCGTGATTGGGCCGTACCGATAACAAACTATTGATTAAAAAAATAATGAGGCAACTTGTTAAAGTACTCGAAAAAAAGAAGCCATGTATGCAAAATGCCTATGTTATGTTAATGCCAATACGCCATAGCAAGAAAAGCAACCATTTTTGGTACAAATATGTGTGTATAAGTGGAAATACCAAGGAGAACTTTGCTGACTTAGTGGAGTGAAAAAATGACCATAAATAATAAGTATATAATGAGAGGAATTTATAGTTGTTCATTCAAATTGAAACTATAGTGCTTAATTAAATCTTTAAGCTTAGTGTAAGTTGTGTGAACTATAGCTTTCAACTTGAAAATGAGAATATTAATTTTCCTGTTTCCTTATCCTAGAGATATGATTACGAAAATCCACCTTAAGATTTGTTTTTGCTTCATGTGTCATGTGTGATTGTAGAGCCTTAAAAGTAAATCAAGATATGATAAGGATATATAAGCATCTAACAAACCTTACATGAATGAATTCAAGAGGTTTTTAGATACCTAGCTGACAAATACACGAAAAAATTTATTTACATAAACAACAAACCGACAAGAATAAAATCTTTCGGATGCATCGTGTGTATAGTACGTAATTTTATTGGGCACCCAGCTTTAGAGTAACCTTTATCCAATTTCGGGATAACCTTTTGATGTGTTTTGGAGTAATCTTTTATGTGCATTAAGAGGTGATTTTTAAAAGATACAAGTAAGTTTTATAAAGAATACAGTAAAACAGCCGTGTAAATTTATTATAAATAGAGCAACTTTATCAATAAAAATAGGAGATTTTGAATTTTATAAACAAGTTTTGATAATTTTAGAATAAGTTTACAGTCGATTTAAATCAGTTTATGACATTTTTTAATATTTTATCATACATCCTGGCATAAAATTATGTCCTATCGTGATTAGATGGTAAACATTTTTTTTAATCTTTTTGTCCACAGAAAAATAAATAGTTAGTGTATTGTTTTGAAAAGGATGGGACTTAGCATTTAAATATAAATAAATAAATAGGGTGATAAAACGATAATCTACTATTTTCATGAAGTTAGTGGAAGGTTGAATATATGCTTTGCACAAGGAATATGAATCAAAGATTGGCAAATGGCAAGATGTCACGCTATCATTCTAAAGGTGTTTGGACCTCCTCAAAGGTCACATTTAATTTGATGCCCCATTACTTGCCATTGACATCTTATCTTCTCACATTCAAAGTAGTCATCCATTTAAATTATGTGGCTAATCCCTATTGATTTCACCTTGAAGGAAAAAATAAAGGGAATAAACGTACGTGGTAATAATTGAACATATTCAAAAGTGGAATTATATCACCAAAGAAAGAAATATATATGGTTGAAAGTGGAGTTGGCGGGACACATATAAACAAAAACACTTGCTTCGATTTGGCTTGATGTATTGAGTCGGGTGACTCGGGTCATGTTTATGGGTAAATATGATGCACCCAAGCCCGAGCTAGGTTAGATCGAGGTCAATATGGTTCACAGTTTTGTTTAGGCATAATTGGACTAAGAAATACATTGACATATCAATTCTATTTCGTCGACTTAATCTCGAAAAATAATTGTTATTCTCACACAGCGACACATATATACATGTCAAGTTAAGTACTTATTACTAGTAAGATTTTGATATGAATTCATCAACATGCATTAATAATTTTCATTACAACTAATTAATACTAACATTCAAGTTGATACAACTCCTAATATCAACCAAATTTCTCGCAAAAAAATATGCATTGTTTCAATTAAATTGTGGCACATCTTCACTTAACTTTAATGCCTTTTAACAATTAACCCACATGTTTTATCTATATAAACATACTTCCACTTAAAAGAAAGGCATAAATCCTAAAGTATAGCTACTAATAGTGTTCCAATTATATCCCACTAAAAAATCAGGAGCTAGCTATAATTAGAGTCTATGGTTCTTTCTTAATTCCTCAGAATAGAAAGGCTAAAAGCCAAGTAATAGTGTAGTACCCTCTTATAGTAACCCCCAAAAAAGCAACGGCAAAGATTGGTCTATTCATCCCTTGGTCTGCCAACAGAAGAGCAAATTATATGAGGGGGAAACTGTTTTTTCTTTTGATGACCCAAGAAAAAGTGGAGTAAAAGGGAATATAAAATAAAAAAATAAAAATAAAAATAATCAAAACTTCCTCCGTTTCTATTTTATTTGCCCCCACACATTAGTGAAACAAATGTCAATAACTTCGACCGCGAAGAATTATTAATCTAAAAAAAAAAAAAAACGAGTAATAAACATGTATGATTTTATTAGGTTGATTAATGTACAGTTTTAAAATATCGCATTTTTATAATGTATACATGAACTGAATCAAAGATATTTACCCCTTTCGTTTCTTTTTATTTGTTAAGTTTTGATTTTTACGATTAATTTTATAAGCTTTGACTGATATATATAATTTTTTAAAAAGATCAACATTATATTATGTGAGATGATGTTAAATTCGTCCTGAAATGAATCTTCATATGTATTATATATATATATATATATATATATATATATATATATATATATATATATATATATATATATATATATATAATACGTATCTAATTGAATATATTTGGCTATTTGCCGTAAAAAATGTGCATTGAAACATAATTCCTCCGTTTTAGTTGACACCATTTGACTTTTACTCTATTTACAAATTATACTTTAACTAACTTTTGTGATTTATTGTTACGATTAAAAGTATTCATATGGAATCTTGTTTGAATCGTGCTAATGTATATTTTATTAATGTCCACTTTTTCTAATTTCACAATGTTTGTAATTAGATATATTAATCATATAAATTTTACATTGACAAGTGCGATTATAAAATGGTGTCAATTAAAAAAAATGAAGGTATTTAAAAAAAAAAAACTAAAGTTATTATTTTAAGACATGTTTTGAGGAGCATAAAAAATCAAATGGAGCAAACAAATCAAGACCGAGAGGTTTATTAAATATAAAAAGGGGCTACTTTTTATAGAAAGTGAGATTCACTCAAAAGGCACTATTGAAAGACAGGTACACCCTTCACCACTTAAAGCCTTAGGTAGTGGGTTAGACAAAAACAATCTCAATCTCAATCTCAATCCCTTTTAACTGTTGATGACGCACATTGATGGCGCGTGAAATTTGTCTTCCTCTTGGACTATTATTGTAGAGTGGAGTGGACCTTTGTTACTGCTCATAAAGATCTTGTAATCTTTCTATACTACTGCTTACGGCTTTATGCTTGATTATGACTTAAGACACTACCCCTTGATGTGATTGTGAACCCCACGCGCTCATGTTTTCTGTCTCGTATTGGGGACGTATTGATGTATTATTAATTGCTCGTATTATTATACATAATATAGACTATCGTATTTCTTTTATTTTACTAGAATTACAACACTTGTTATTTTGCAGAATTTTCAAATTAAAAGAAAAGAAAAATTAAATCACTTAAGCGGTATTTGTGGGTCAAATACCTTGAGAATGGGGGGTAAGGGATCCCCACCCTCAAAGTGTCTCTAGTGGAGATTAAACCCTCAACCTCAATATTGAAAAGTGTAATTTTTCCCACTAGACTAAACTTAGATCTGGTTTAGTTCAACTTATTTTTATTTATTTTAGAAAAAATAAGTTCAAATCAGATAAGATCAGAAAAAATAAGTTTAGATCAAATCATCGTTTTATGTGCAATTTTTTATCACTAAATATCTCTAATTAATTTTGTAATAAAAAAATTATGAAAATTACATATTAATAAAATACACATTATTACGAATCTAACAAAATCTCACCTGATATATTTATTCCTTACAAATTATCGTACACCTAAGGTCAAATCAGACAATAAGATCGGATCAGATTAGACCAGACCATATCAGATAAGTTCAGATAAGCAAAAATAAGGTGAACTAAATAGGGCCTTAGCTTAGTATCCAAGGATTGTATATTTATATACAATAATACAAGTAATACAAGTATATGCTCGCTCCTCACTAAGTCACTAGTATATGGACAACGCACATATGTGTGAGTTTGTAAGGGAACCATTTGGTGCATAAATACAAACATTATTTGATGTTTACGACCATCACCAAAGGCACCAATATAGAGAAATCAAGATTTATATTCTAGCTAGTTATCCCATTAATATACATGAGGATATACA